TTTTTTTTTTTTGTACCCCCCCCACAAGGGGGGGCGGGGGGGGGGGGGGGGGGGGAGTGCGGGCAAAGGGCGGGGATTTGATGCCTGAGACTATCCCCATGTCGGGATTTTGATCGTGCAAAGCGACCCAGGGGTCGGGACATTTGACTTTGACCGACAGAAGCCTGGTATTCCTGGTATCAATTCAGAAGCGGTTACCAAGTCGGTTCCTCGAGGCTTTCTGAAAGTCACGCTGTTGGAGAAAGGTATGAAGTTTTCATTTGTTTTAATCGTAAAAATTCGATACTTTTAACCGTCATCTAAACAGATAATGTCAATTTTAAGAAAGTTTTTGTCTTCAAGTTCCCATCTGATTGTAAAACTCGATTGAAATTGAATTCGACCTTGAAAGTCAGAGGATTTTTTACGGGTCACTGATCTGACCTGTTCTGACATGTTGAGCAGATGTTATAAAGCATTTTACGTTTCATTAATATTATAACAGCGCGGTCAATCTTCCTGGAGTGATTTTGTTGTTCAAAATAAGAAATGCTAGTGGAGAGAGAAAATACTTAATTACAGCGAGTAACTTAATGAAGCTTACGTTAACCTTAAATAAAAGTAGTAAGAACGTACTTTTGAAATGTTTTTATATTCGTTTTATATAGTATTATAGTATTGTTTGTTTAGATTTTTTCCCCTGGGGTGGGGTCTTTTTGACACTTTTGATTGACCTTTCATTTCCCACCCTGGGGAATTTGATCAAAAAATTCTGAAATTTGTCAAATCCCCACCCCTTGCCCGCATTCCCCCCCCCACGGGGTTTACATTGATAGGTGCATTATACATGAACTGATATAAATCTATGATTTACAAACCAAAGATACTAGTAAACAGTTAACCAATTAAGTTTGAAGGGCATCGGTTGGCTGAGAAGCGAGAAGTCTTACTTTTAGTTTTCATACATTTTGTTTCTTCGTTTTCCCGCTAACTTCAGCTCGCCTACAGCGCCTCCCACATTCATTTCGTAAGATGAGAGTTACTTTCCGTAATCAGATCCGCTGGACTGTTATACTGGATTTTTGTGCCCTCACATTTAATGCCAGGATTGACAGCGACTCATGAACTATAAAAAAATCAAATTTACAAATTGATCGGTGACAAAATAAACTGGATTTTGCTCCTTATATTTAATGCTAGGATTGACGATCATTGAGTACAAAACAAACTACGAGTAAATGAAACTCTGTATCTGCACCGAAAAACCACACTGCAGTTTACCGTGGCTAACCCTTTTACCCGTCTGTTGCTTAATGGGAACATGTTTATGTGAAAAAGATTATGGTCTCAAGTCGTCCAAGATGAACCATGGAAAATACTTACTGGTAAGCAAATTACCATGAAGTTGAGTTCTGCCTCTTCCGAATTTTGCGGCTCGACTAGAAGCACGTCCAAAGTGATGTCAGTAAGAAAAATCTTGTACGCAATACCAGATACTTTCATTTTGCAAGCTTGCAGACTATTTGATTAGTCAAATCTGTATTGTTGGAAGAAACATTATAAGCACTGTTCCTAATATTTAATGTTTTGAAGCTGTAACGAAAACCTCTTAAACATGAAGTCCCGCATCTGTTGCGATTACAGAACAACTATAATTCATTTTTTCATGCTACAACGCTACTTTCTATATACCACGAAAAATTTTTAACGTAACACGGATTCGGATTTGAACAAAAATTAAGTCGGATCGACGGATCTGCCCTAAAAATACCACGGATCGGCGGATTTGCATACCCCTATTCACCCCCCTCTCAAAGGGGCTCTGTCACGAAATTTTTCAAATTTCAACAGTCAACGGCCAACAGATAGAGTGAAACATAAAAACAGGGAGGTTTAGCAACAACGACGGCGACGGTACCGAGAACGTCATAAAAGTTGAAAACAACTTTGCACATGCATCATGCTTTTTCAGTGTACATTTCTTTGCCGTCACTGCAAGACTACGACGTGAAAATGCCTAATTTATCGTTTTATGGAGGAAGTAACTGACAAGCGATTACGAATTTTCTTTCTCTTCAGTTCTTAACTTGAGTACGGCCTTCAAGAAACCAACTCGGGGACATTTGCCTACATTTGGCATTTTCAGCAGTTTGGAATAAACATGAATTCATTTTAATAGTAAAGGATTAAATAAACTGCAAAAACCGTGGACGAAGATCCTGCTAGTTGTAAACGTTGGATCTCTAGAAAAGAGATCAAATCAGCGAAAATATAAAGAACCAAGAACGAGAAGTCCAAAGACTACTGCAAAGCTGATTTAAAACAACGTGTATTGTTTTTTATAACAATATTTCGGCTGGCCGTCGCTGTCGTCGATGCTAAAACTCCCTAATGACCAATCAAAGCATAGACTGCAAAACAGTCCGTATTTTTGCGTATTCCAGTACGCGCGAGCAGTCAAACAAAAGGTGTGGAAAGAGGCTGAAAACAGAGAGCGAGACTGGGGAGAGACGCTAGGACAAAGATCCTGCCTGTAGTTGTAAACGTTGGATCTCTAGAAAAGAGATCAAATCAGCCAAAATATAAAGAGCCAAGAAGGATTAAATAACGCCCTACGGGCGTGTGAGGCTCGCGCGGTTCGCGCGCGTAAGACTCTCACGCCACGCTGTACCGATTTCTTTACTGATTTTGAGGAAAAAACCGACTGTTTTGCAGTCTAATCAAAGCATTAAGGCAGAGGGCAAGGAGCACAGTCTCAACCTGCGAACGCAGACGTATTTTGAGCTATTCTAGAAATACTTATGCGTTCGCAGGCTATTAGGAAGTTTTAGCATCGACGACGGCGACTGCATCGAAAACGTCACTATTAAAATGAATTCGCGTTTTTTCAAACCTTTTTGCGTGTATTCCAAATTGCTGAAAATGCCAAATGTAGGCGAATTTCCCCTAGTTGGTTCTTGTTAGCCGCTTGTTTACGTCCTCTACTTATTGTTTGACAAAATGAAGCCCGAAGGGCCGAAAAAAATTTTTTGAGACGCCCCCACACCCCCCCCCCCCCTCGCCTCATCTCAAGGTCTGGATGACCGCCCCCCGCCCCCTTATCTGAAGGTCTCGATCCGCCACTGAAACCTATTGCTTTTATGACGTACTCGTTACTGTCGCCGTCGTCGTTGCTAAAGCTCCCTATCTTCTCCTAGGAGGTACTCCCTATATGGCCTGTATGGAGAGGCTTCGCCCGATAGGGGATTTACTGGTTGAAGTATATAAAAGGGTTAGAAAATCTTTTATTTCGGTCTGTAAAATGAGATAGAGGGGCTATGGAAAGATTTTATGGCTGTGAAAAAGTCGGGAAAATTATTTACTTTTAAGAATTATTCATACTTAAAAAGAAAGTGCGTTTACAAGAGTTAAAACGGATCCAAAGCTCTAAACTAAATTTGCGAAAGGGGCGCCATTTGTCAATGAAAGGTATACGAAAGGGGTACCTTTTCTGCCGAAAATGGCATATAAGTAAGTATATGTTTTACATTGATGGACATTTGCTGGACATTTGTTTTGACTAAATGTCTGGGTAAAACGAATCTATAAGAGGAAAGACACTTCGCAATACAAATTTAATTAGCGTTAAGACACATCAAATACGAAAGGCCTTGCTACCTATCATTAATATAAAGATAAAAAATATCTTCGAAGAAACTGCTCATGGGAGAGACAGAGATGACTTGCTTCTTGTTAAACGTATTTTTTGAGTGTCTAGATAAGCTCGATCTACGCCTTGAGTCAAATCACATGATGCTGATCTTGTTAAACGAACTTGGTTTTCCACCTTTCGCATCTGTAGCGTATCTTTCCCTGAGCCAAATACATCGTTATGTTTGACGTCGCGGAATCTTGCTGCATCAGTTACAACGGACGGCTTTTCTTTGGGTCTCCTACTCTTCAAAATCTCGAGCACGGCGTTCCTAAAACGGCGATCTCTGTAGCAGTAAATGAGTGGATTAGCTACAGAATTTAGATACAAAAATAAGTCCTCTACACGCATCGCCAAACGTTGACGAAAGAGTAGATAAACTCCTTGCAAAATACCGCCAAGAATACTTGGCAAGAAGGACAGAATCAGGGCAATCGTAACCACGGCAGCGGTCATAGCTATTCTGCGTTCCTGTCTTACTTTCACTAACTCGCTGACTTGGCGAATTTGACTTACTTTGCGTTTGCGAACTCCAAGGTACACCATGACATAAAAATAAACGATAAGACTTAGGGCAGACATTAGCAAAAGTGACAGAGGAATGAGGAAAATTTCCAGAGCTATAACCGCCTCATTCGCCCTCATCATTCCTTTGAGTGCCGTGATAAAGTTTGGTGGAGATACAGTTGCTATTGCTAATACCCAAGCTATTATCGCCAGCTTTTTCATAAGGCTTTTAGTCACCATCACTTTGTAGTCAATCCATTTTCGAATGGCCACGTACCTTTCCCAAGCAATCACTGTCAGATGGAAAATCGAACAAATCGCGAGAGTGATCGTGGACGATATGGCTACAAAGTCCAACATGCAAATGTAATGGTCAGCCAGTACTTGATGAGGAACTAACAGTTTAACCACGGCAGACAACGGTATACATAAACTTCCTACTAGAAGATCTGTAACAGCCAAACTTGTTAGTAAGATATTGGAAGTTCTCTGCAGTTCTTTCCTTTGCTTTACTGCTATGATTATTAGCGCGTTCAAAAGAACGGCAAGTGGAGAGATTATAGATGCGAAAGTGGCAAAAACCCAGGGAGAAGTAGTGTCATTGAAATCCCAAACTAAGTGTGGTTCGTGTGGGCAATAAAACACTGACCTGGTACTGTTAGAAAATATGGTCGCTCTTTCTGTTTCGTTTGGGCCCATGGTAAACCCTTTTTCATCTATCCCAGTGTTTCTAGGATGGTGCTGAACGCCTTCCTCCCGAGTTATGAGGGTTACTTAGCTAATACCGTGTATTAAAGGAAGGGACATGGTATTGTAAAATTGCAGCTGTATTACGATAAGTGTTGGTATCAAAATAATTTGGTATTAAGATTTAGTTTTTATAATTACCGACTCAAAAAGGCTGCAAACAATTGCTATAAGCTATAAGGAAGAAAAGCAGGAAAATGCCGTAATGTTTTTTCTGAGTGAGGTTATTGTTTTAGTCCGGTACCATACTCTGCGAAAGCTGAATTAGTCATTGTAGTAACTGATTATTGTCCGATTTTAGGGGTGTAAGATAAGGTTTAGTCCGCATTCGAACTAAGTGGTCGATCAATCCGGAGCTTAAGCCAGTTCCTGTAGCATGAAGCCACATTTCCGCTCAATTTACTGATCCTTTATTTTCGTTTTTTTTTTTATTTATGCAAATTCACAATCTTCAGTACTTATTCCAATTAACAGGCGAAAATTACATTTTGGGTTCTGTCATTTGCGCTGTTTTTAAATATCCGCTGAAATTAAGTCAGGATAATAAGCGTAAGTGATGTAGTGCATGCATATTTTGGACACTTTGGTAAATGACAATTAATCTGAAGATCAATGAGATTAACTAAAAAGCACTTAAAGAATCAAATTCAAGTGCTAGTGAAGGATGTAGTGAAAACCTAGAAACTATGGGATCTTTTCTAAATTAAAAAAAATGCCACCAACGCCTTTACTTCTTTAGAATTCAATCAGCCCTGGAAACGCCAGTTGAGCAATAGTAATCTATTCAACGACATCAATATTCATGCTCAGTTGTATTAAGGTACGGAAAAATGATTGATCAGCAGATCGACTAAGCCAAGGTGTCCCAGCTTGGCTCAGGGGTAGTTAGTAATACGACCCACGCGATTTTCTGGGTGGGAGGGTGCATGGGCCGTTCACCTCGCGTGGCTCCGCTGAGAACTCAGCACGAATCAGTGATTTCCACGCGAAATCGTTATTTATCTTAAGGAGTTACGTAATCGCACGCGAAACCGTTTGACTAGCCACGCAAAACCTGTTTATTAGGTGTATTTGAACTACGCATATCATTATGAGTGTTGTGAAAAGAGAGGAGAAGTTGTTACATCACGTTGCCATGGTGGCAAAATTTCTAGATGAGAAGAAACGGAAACGTCACTTAAAAAGTGAATTCGCACTGTTTAAAACTTTATCGATCTTCTTCAATTTCATTTAACTTGTCAAATGTTGGCGAAATTTTCTGGAGTTGAATCGAAAGGACCGTATGTAAGTTTAGAAAAGAAAATAAAAAATGTGTTGTGTTCACTTACTCAATACCGTGGGTAGGTGAAATTAAGAAGTTTCATGTTCCAGTCGTGGAACGACGGCTAAGAAATGTACAAAAAAGCGTGATGCACATGCAAAGTTGTTTTCTTGCTAATATAAGGGGCCTGTTTACATGGAATTGAAGGACCCCAGGTAGCAACCTCGTCCCCAGGGCTTTTCCCTCAAACAATGGGTGTTTTTTTTTGGAGGGAAAAGCCCTGGGGACGAGGTTGCCCAGGCAGGTGCGGTAACCCGGTTAGGTGGGGTAAAAAAATCGTCCTCCTTTACATGCAATCTTACAACCCCGCCATCCCGGGGTGCACTTTGTCAAGATTATTGAATGGTTGCTAAGCACGTAAACAAGAAAAAAGGCTGGCAAAGGACCTGTTTGGGCGATTAATGCTCTTCCACATTCACCTGCTGCTCTTGCTGCAACCTTCAGTGCTGTAGCTTTCTATATTGTTACCTTTAATAATGATGCAAAGCCACCGCCAAAGTGAATTGTGCGCGATTATGATGTTTTACGAATCCGAGCTCGGCTAGGCGGTTTACCCCACCTACCCCACCTTGAAATGTTTACATGGCAAAATGTGACCCTGGCTGGAGGGTTACCCGGTCTGGAAGACCGGGCTACCCGCCTTGGCGGGTCACTCCACCTATCATGTACCCTGGGTTCCAGAGGATATTTTTTCTTATGGATATTGATGGTTCGTTTATTTCATATTAGGTATATTGAGAACGGACCTCTGGAGCCAGGGTACCCATCATGTAAACGTGACGAAATCAAAATTAGAGATTATATGGGCATACGGGTTACCCCACCTACCTGGGGTCCCCCACCTCTAGCTAAACAGGCCCTTAACCTATTGCTTTTCTGCCAATCTCTTTGCCGTCCCCGTCGTTGTTGCTTAAGCTCCCTATTGTTGTGATCCAGAAATTTTGGTTACTATGGTAACCTGAGGTCACACCTCTCCTCTCTATGGTGGAGGGATTGTGTGTGGAGGGCTTGCATTTTTGGATATCACAATGAATTCACCCCTTTAGTGTCTATTTTCTCCTCTCTATGGTGGAGGGATTGTGTGTGTGGAGGGCTTGCATTATAGGATATCACAATGAATTCACCCCTTTAGTGTCTATTTTCTCCTCTCTATGGTGGAGGGATTGTGTGTGTGGAGGGCTTGCATTATAGGATATCACAATGAATTCACCCCTTCAGTGTCTATTTTCTCCTCTCTATGGTGGAGGGATTGTGTGTGTGGAGGGCTTGCATTATAGGATATCACAATGAATTCACCCCTTTAGTGTCTATTTTCCCTGTATCTCTGTATAGAGAGGAGCGTTCACAGAGGGCTTTTTTGGATAATAAATTTGGGTTCTATTTGGGGGGCTCGGGAACAGTTTTTAAGTGTGCTTATATTGATTTCCGTCTGCCGGCTGCCGGGTTTCCAAGGCCTTATTCTTTGGTTGCTTCTTATGAACACAGATATATTTTGGAAAAGTGTTAAGTCGTTGCAAAAGAGCATAAAGTGTGTGTTTCATTATCCTCTCTCAGGTCGCTGGAATAATAGGCTGATTTAGCAACAGAACGGGAACGTCGGTTGACGACGGCGCGCGCAGATCAAACAACTGGCTTGACCAATGGCAGAGCGGCAAATTGCGCACCGGAAGTCGTGTTTAGTCTTTTCCGCGCGCTTTCCCGTCGTCAACTGACGTTCCCGTCCTGTTGCTAAATCAGCGTAATGAAACACATGTAACTGAGTTGAGAAAGGAAACTCACCATGGTAAAAAGATTGAGAAGCTGATCAGGTGGGATCAGTAGTGTTTGAACGTCAGTTTCTGTATCTCTCTTTAATTTGGCAATTCACCTTTTTTAGCAACTGAACTTTATCTGTTCTTGGGCACAGTTTAAGTTTTTATAGTTGTCAGACACAACGCGTTAGGCACTCTTAGATTTTGTAGATGTAAATAGGGTAAATATGTGTCTGCCATTTACTTGTTGCATTTAGTATTTAAGATTGTTTTGACTTAATTTGAACTAAATTAGTGGAAGCATTATTTCTGCTGTTTTGCTAAAATCAGCATAACTTACATTAGACTGCAAAGCAGTCACGATTTTTGCGTATTCAAGTACGCGCATGCAGTCAAACAAAAGGTCTGGAACGAGGCTGAAAACAGAGAGCGAGACTGGGGAGAGATGCTAAAAAACGGTTCTTTTTCTCTCGCCTCACACGCCCGTGGTGTTAGGGTCGCGCGCTTCACGCGCGTAAGGCGCTTACGCCACGCTTTACCGATTTCTTTACTGATTTAGAGAAAAAACCCGTCTGTTTTGCAGTCTAAGATTACATAAACTAGCAAAATTACTGACATATATTATCGTCCTTTGCCTCAGAAGTGGTACTTTGAGCGATTTTCAAGGATTTTGAGTTCGCTGAATTTACTGCGAAGTTAAGGTAACACAACAATTATTTAGCTTTGATGCACTATGCACATATTTACCGATGTACCGCTACAGATGAAGCAAACGGTAAATACAGTACATTTTCCATAAAATTACATCGGTTACACAAGTTTGTGTGGGCGCCCTGTAGTAAGATTTTTCTCCCGCTCAACAGTTTGTAGAAATCAAGTTTCGTTACGCTGTTACGCCGTTAGGGGTTTACCAACAACTCTAGACTGGAAATTACTTGTAAGCCGGTCAAAATTACAACAAAAGAAAGGTAATGGCTCAGTCAATTCCAAGCGTGCCCTTCTCCCCCGGGCATTTGTCATTTTGTTTTGGAAAAGCTGCAAATGCCCCACGTTGGGGCCGGGCGTTCATACAAAAACCCCACTGTGGGGCCTTAAATACGGTGCAAATGCCCCACCCCGGGACAACACTAAAATTTCATTTTTCAGTAAATACACTGCAAATACCAAATTTATGGGAAATCTGTAATAATCTGATTAAAATCGTGCGTGAAGCACCCTACGCAAATCGCTCCTAGCCGCTCGAGACAATTATTGCAAAAAAAGACCACACTGATCAGATTTTAAATATCAAATACAGAACTATAAACTAGAATTTTAAAGATGTTTAATATAGTGAATGATAAACAAACAACCGACGAGCTTAACTGTGATGAGTACTTTCTTATCACGATGGAACCGTTTCGTCAGCGTATTAATTTTCGCATTGTACGATACACTAAGTTTATGTAAACTTTTATATGTCTCACAGATTTTATCTAGGCCTTTCTGCCTCAAACATTCGCGCACAAAGAAAGTGCCTCTTCTTTAAACTCCTCAAAGTCTTCGAACTGGTCAATACCACTCCTCACCAGGTTCACCAACACCTGTTACTGGCCAGTCGAAATATTGTATACCTCAGCCTTTTTGACGTTGTTTGATCAGTCGTTGCAGTAGTCTTTTTGACTTTAATTCTATTTTTTAAGCCATTTAAAAAGAAAGTGCGTTTACAGTAGTTAAAAGGGATGCAAAGCTCTAAACTAAATTTGCGTAAGGGGTGCGGCCATTTGTCAATGAAAGGTATAAGAAAAGAATGGGGTACCTTTTCTGTCAACAAATGGTATATAACAAGGGTAGGGGGTTCGTCCCCTAGGGGGAGCCTCCCCGTATAAAATTTTCTTGAGTATCCCCCTGGGGCTATTTCAGATCGGCATATTGGCAAAGGTGCACCTCAACCGTAAGTAGATGTTTTGCCATTCCTGGACATTTGCTGGACGTTTGGTTTCAATTGACTAAATATTTGGGCACAAGCACCTCAGCTCAGCGTGTGTTTAATCATTAATACATGTAGTTTCATATTGCGTAATTTAAAATGGCCGTGAATATAAAGGATTTGTATGGGAATGAAGTAGATAAATACTCGCTAGAATGTTCAATAAAATACAGCTAACCGTATTAAATTTGCTCGTTTTTGCTTGCTGTGTGGTTATTTTCCCAATCCATTGCGATTTAAGCGATTTCCTTTTACCCAGAGTTTCCACTGGAACATTCTAGCGAGCTAGTATTTATCTACTTAAATCTTGTACCTGAATTCCCATACAAATCCTTTATATTCACGCCATTTTAAATTACGCAATGTGACTACATGACTGTATTACTGATTAAACTCACACACGACTGAGCTTGGGCCGCCTGTGATTTGGGTAAAGATAAAAAGAAAAATTAAATATCTTCGAAGAAACTGTCATGGGAGAGACAGAGATGACTTGGTTCTTGTTAAGCGTATTTTGTAAGTGTCGAGATAAGCTCGATCTACGGATCGAGTCAAATCACATGATGCTGATCTTGTTAAACGAACTTGGTTTTCCACCTTTCGCATCTGTAGCGTATCTTTCCCTGAGCCAAATACATCGTTATGTTTGACGTCGCGGAATCTTGCTGCATCAGTTACAACGGACGGCTTTTCTTTGGGTCTCCTACTCTTCAAAATCTCGAGCACGGCGTTCCTAAAACGGCGATCTCTGTAGCAGTAAATGAGTGGATTAGTTACAGAATTTAGATACAAAAATATGTCCGCTACACGCATCGCCAAACGTTGACGAAAGACTGGATAAATTCCTTGCAACATACCGCCAAGAATACTTGGCAAGAAGGAAAGAATCAGAGCAATCGTAACTACGGCAGCGGTCATAGCTATTCTGCGTTCCTGTTTTACGCTCACCAACTCGCTGACTTGAAGAATTTGACTTAATTTGCGTTTGCGAACTCCAAGGTACACCATGACATAAAAATATACGATAAGACTTAGGGCAGATATTAGCAAAACTGAAAGGACAATGAGGAAAATTTCCAGAGCTAAAACCCCTTCATTCGCCCTCATCATTCCTGTGAGCGGTGCCGTGATAAAGTTTGGTGATACAGTTACAATTGCTAATACCCAAGCTACTAACGCCAGCTTTTTCATACGACCTTTAGTCACCATCACTTTGTAGTCAATCCATTTTCGAATGGCCACGTACCTTTCCCAAGCAATCATTGTCAGATGGAAAAACGAACAAATCGCGAGAAAGACCGTGGACGATATGGCTACAAAGTCCAACACGCAAATGGAATGGTCAGCCTGTACTTGACGAGTAACTAACAGTTCAACCACGGCAGATAACGGTATACTTAAACTTCCTACTAGAACATCTGTAACGGCCAAACTTAATAACAAGATATTGGAAGCTCTCTGCAGTTCTTTTCTCTGCCTTACTGCTATGATTATTAACGCGTTCAAAAGAACCGCAAGTGGAGAGATTATAGATGCGACAGCGGCCAAAACCCAGGGAGAAGTGGTGTCACGTAAATCCCAAACTAAGTGTGGATCATGTGGGCAATAAAACACTGACCTGGTACTGTTAGGAAATATGGTCGCTCTTTCTGTTTCGTTTGGGCCCATGATAAACGCTTTTTCATCTGTCTCAGTATTTTCTAGGATGGTGCTGAACGCCTTCCGCCTGAGTTAGGAGGCGGTTACTCAGCTAATGCCGTATATAAAATGAAGGGACATGGTATTGTAAAATTGCGGCTGTATTACGATGAGTGTTGGTATCAAAATAATTTGGCATTAAGAACTAAGTGGTCGATCAATCCGGAGCTTAAGCCGGTTTCTGTAGCATGAAGCCACATTTCCGCTCATTTCTTTGTCCTTTCTTTCCCTTTTTTTTTTTTATATCTAGGCAAATTCATCTTCACCACTTATTCTAATTAACAGGCGAAAATTACATTTCGGGTTCTGTCTTTTGCGCTGTTTTTAAATATCCGCTGAAATTAAGTCAGGATAATAAGCGTAATGATGTTGTGCATGCATATTTCTGACACTTTGGTAAATGACAATTAATCTGAAGATCAGTGAGATTAACTAGAAAGCACTTAATGAATAATATCCAGGTGCTAGTAAAGGATATAGTCTGGGAAATAGCAAAAACCGAGAAAGTTTGGGATGTTTTGTAGATTAAAACTGGAGAAAAATGCCACCTGCGCCTTTCAGTACTTCTTTAGAATTCAATCAGCATTCGGCTGGCTAAATCTATATATTACCTTATGACCGTGAACCCCCCGCTTTGAGATAGGCCTGGTCAATGCAGTGGTCAAATACCGCCCTACTGCGTGGCAGGCGTTCGAAGAAAGAGAAAGGGAATTTTGGGCGGTAAAGAAACGCGAGGCGGGGAAGGGGGGGGGGGGGGGGTGAGGAGGGAGGGAGGGAGGGAAAGGCCTGCAAGTAGGCCATTATTTTTATGTTATAAACATCCACCAGGCAAATGTT